CGTTATCAGTACGAAATCCTAGCCATTGAGTAAAAGCCCTAGCCGTCTAAACAACTATGAATCCCTAACAACATTGACGCCGTCTTTGATGCTATTTTCCTCCCAACTCCATCGAGATAAGTGCTACTAATAATTCATCTTATTATTTCGATCTCATTATTAAATTTATGGCATCATTACGTTATAGACCAAACCATGTTTTATTAAAATCTTTCGTCACATGCTTAATTGATATATAAGAGATCGACACATGTAGCTATTGCTTTGTTAGTATAACTCATGATGCTTTACTGTTTTATGACAAATCGGCTCATATTTATATGGCGTACTAAGCATTAGTTGGTGTTGCTTTATAATTATAGGCTCATGTTATGTTAATCGTTATTATATTATTTATGTTTTGTGATATTTCGCCATGAAACTCAGTATTTAATTTAATCCTTGTTGTCCTTGATTAAAAGTATCATCATGTGCTTTAGAATTCTCTCCATCTCTCTGTTATGTTTATCAATCAAGATAAGTATTTATGATTTATACTTATATAGGATCATGCTTTTGTCAATTGTCATAACGTTGGATGAACATTCATGCATATAGAGATACCATTCATATATACATGACCCACTGTCCGATCACGTTAATTGTTTGGTTCAAAATATTTATCATGTTTCATTATAAAGATTGGTATATGCTTTATTGATTTATGTTACTTATCGATTGATGACAGATAAATTGGCTCTTGCTTAACCAGACATACTTTGACATCATATATATTCTCCGATGCTGTCTCCGTCGTATTTCATCTGCCGAATTTCTACCCAACGATCGAGAAAAGTATTATTAATTTATCAAGGAATTAGTTAATAGCATAGTTACATAACAATCGAAGCATACTTATATAATAATCAACACATGCTTTGATGTTACTTGATTTATTATCTAGACTGAAAATCATCAATTAATTAGAATTTGATATAGATTTGATTGCTTGGAAATTATTATGGGTTTTACTTAAGAATTCATTGGTTCCTATTTCTTTATCACAAATCATATGGCATCGTGACTTGCTTTATATATTTAATTAAAATCATATTAGAGTTAGATCATATATAGCTCATTGTTAATTGTGACTGATTTGTGCTAAAATTATTTTGGAGTTTTGGGAATATGATATAAAAAAAAATTAGAATTTTGATGATTGATAGAAATTGATAAGATCTGATCATAACTAAAATCGTTATGCCATGGATATATAATAATAGGATTTGCTTTGTTCATCCGTTTGGTATTAGACTTGATTTGTTTAGATAAATTTTGCTGCTGCATTCAACTGTTTTATAGCAAATCATTTTATGCTGGATAATGATAGTTTATATATTCATAGTAAAATTATGAAAGACATAATAGATTGTCATGCTTTACTATGATTGACCTATATGTAATAACCATTCTTATTGATCTATATGTCTTAGTTCATGATATGTGAAGTGCATCGTCCACTGTTTTGAATAATGATTAATCGATCATGTAGTATCATGCTATTAGAGTGAATTTTGAATTAAGTTATGATGCTTAAAGTAACATATTTATTCTCTAATATTGGATTTTATAATAAAAATCATATCGAGATATTTATGGTCCATTTCCTAAAGTGAATGTGATATCTTATATGAGAAAAGAGAGGATCACACTAACAACACTAAGCCAAAGAAGTGGCTATAAAAKTTTTCTTGAGTGGTCAAGACCAARATGTTTCTTTYAAKAACTTGAATTCTCACCAGAAGTGTGAAAAGAAAATAGCAACAAGTTGATTATGGTCCATTCTTTAAAGTGAATGTGCGTCTTATACATAAGATCACACTAATAGCACTAAGCCAAAGAAGTGGCTATAGAAAATTTCTTGAATGATCAATATCGA